CCCCACACCGCCACAGAGACCCCCACCAATCACGTCCCGCACAGACACACATCCACCACCACACGGAGACATTCAATCACCCATCAATCACCCCATATTCCTAGGCACATGTACAGTCTCCCTAGATATGACGCCACTCATTATATGCCCGCGCCCCCCCCTCCATATTCGCGCACCCATATCTACATAACTACACCTCTGATATATATATATATATATATATATATATATATATATATATATATATATATATATATATATATATATATATATATATATATATATATATATATATATATATATATATATATATATATATATATATATATGACAAAAACCAAGTGATACGATATATTATTATTTAATATATCGTTAATTATTAGTTAGTCATTATTTAATTATTAATTAACTAGAATAGTTGTTTAGGGTTATAGATGGCCGTGAGTTAGTAGTGGTTAGGAGATTATTAGGTATTTAATTAGTTTAGGTAATTATCTTTCCTAGTTAGATTAGGATTCTAGGGTTTTATTCTCTTTAAATAGTCGTTTTGTGCTAGGGTTTTGAAAATGAAGAGAAATAATAAAGAAGAGTTTTCTTACGATTAGTAAAGAAATCTTATGATACTCGAGAGATCGTATCAATTGGTATCAGAGCGAAGTTGCGATTAACACCAACGCTTCGTTAGCAAGGCAGCGATTATATCAAAGCTACGCTGGAGCAAAGTTGAGATCACATCAAAACTTTGTGAAATCATGATGTCAGAAACAAGACGGTTGGAGCGATTGGAAAAATCCATAGAGAAATTACGGATTAATTTTCAGAAATTGCTTGAACAAAGTCAAGGACGACGTCAAAGCCATCATAAAAGCCGAAGGGACCGCCGCGCATCACCGCCAACGCCACCGCTACCATCACCACCGCCGCTGCCGAGCCTATCGCCGGAGGAAGAGGAAGAGGACGACGATGAATTTTTCGAAGAACCCCAATTGTTTGTGAGTTCGCCGAAAGAAGAAGAATCGGATTTATGTGATATAAAGTGGGACGAAGAGCCGAAAGAAGAAGAATCGGAGTTAACGGAGATAATTTGGGACGAAGATGAGGAATTAACCACAGATGAGAATGAAGAACTACAATGGATATTGGGAGATTTCCATGTTGTTGAAAGGAAAAAAGACGAACAAGAATTGGTGATTGTGAATGAACCGGAATCTGAAAAGGTAATTGAAGAGGCTTTTTTATCGGGAAAAATATTGAGAATTTTTCCAAAAGCCTTGAGGAGTTCGTTCGATCAACCTAAACAATGTGGTAAAAATCTTGATCGTTCGTCATGTTTTTCGGATTCACTCGGGACGCAATTCGATGTAGTCAAACACAGGTGGAAGCGCAAAAGAGAGAGCTGCAATTATTGGAACCTTGAGGACAAGGTTCATTTCAAGAGGGGTGGTTTGATACGATATATTATTATTTAATATATCGTTAATTATTAGTTAGTCATTATTTAATTATTAATTAACTAGAATAGTTGTTTAGGGTTATAGATGGCCGTGAGTTAGTAGTGGTTAGGAGATTATTAGGTATTTAATTAGTTTAGGTAATTATCTTTCCTAGTTAGATTAGGATTCTAGGGTTTTATTCTCTTTAAATAGTCGTTTTGTGCTAGGGTTTTGAAAATGAAGAGAAATAATAAAGAAGAGTTTTCTTACGATTAGTAAAGAAATCTTATGATACTCGAGAGATCGTATCACCAAGTAAAAAAGTATCATTATTCCAAAAACAATGGCAAAATCCATCAATATTTTTTCTTTCTCGATCATCTTTTATCTTGCCCTATACAGTCCAGCAGCATGTTTCAAAAGTAACCAAACACATTTACTTTCATTGTTGGCTTTGAAAGAAGCCGTTGATGTCGATCCAAACGGAGCTCTTAACTCATGGAATCGAACGACAAACTTTTGCACGTGGAACATAGTCACATGTGGTCGCAGGCAACCGAATAGAGTTGTTGGCATAAAGTTGGACTCTCAAGGCTTGATGGGATCACTCTCACCTCATATATGTAATCTTTCATTCCTTAGAGAAATCAATCTCCAAATCAATATTAGCTTCAGTGGCCCATTTCCTCAAGAAATCGGCCTTTTAAGAAGACTTGAGTATATAGAATTTAGCAACAATTCATTCATGGGAACAATAATGCCCGGAAATATTACCCAATGGAAGAATCTAGTTTAGACTACAACCTCTCTGGACCCATACCTTCGGAGATTCGGTATTTGGAGAAACTAAGAGATCTAGGCTTGGCTAAGAACAAAATTTCAGGAGAAATCCCTCGATTTATTGGAAACGTAACATCTCTAAGAACCCTTTATTTAAGGTCTTGCGGTTTGGAAGGAGAAATTCCGGAGTCCATTTCCCAACTTAAGAGGCCAAGTAATCTTAATTTGGGTGACAACAATCTCACATGCTCCATTCCTTCAGGTTTGTTCAATATATCTACTATTGAGCAATTCGTAGTTGATTTTAATGGTCTTCATGGATCGATACCCTCTACTATAGGCCTCACTCTCCCTAATTTAAGTTTTCTTAGTTTGGGGAGGAATCGATTTAGTGGAAGGGTTTTGATTTCAATATCGAACGCTTCTTCACTTGAGTCGTTGGTGTTATCATTCAACGATTTTACCGGGCCAATGCTAATGTTTGGAGGAATTTTGCTGTTTAGTTCCTTATACGCCGAAAAAACCTTAGTTCAAGACGATTTTAGTTTCGTTTCATCGCTCACGAATTGCACAAACCTACGTGCTTTTGATCTTTCCAGCCTATTCATTAGTCGTCAAATCCCAGAATGCATCAGAAATCTTTCCGTTAACCTTGCCGCTATAAGGATTAGTGATACCCAACTACGAAGGAAAATTCCATCCGGTATCGAAACCTCGTTGGTCTAACTTACTTGTGTCTTGAGATAAACTTTTTAATGTGAATATTCTCAACTTGACACAAAATTGGTTTACAGGTGACATACCGTCTTTATTCGGAAACTTGAGTTCGATTACTAAATTAAACTTGTACGAAAACAATTTTTCCGGAGCTATTCCTAAGAGCCTTGGTAAATGCACAAACATGCTAGAGTTAAATCTTTTGAGAACTGTTGAGTGTGTATTTTACACTCAATGTATACTTTCTTACGAGGATTTTTGTATACTTTTATTGATTTAATGATGCTTAATAAGTGGTTTATTGTATTTTAGGTACAACTTGACGATTTGGAAGTTCCAAGGACGAAACGAGCCAAAAAAGGTCAAAAACGGGCAAAAACGGAAGAAAACAAAATATGCTGAAAATTGGCTGAAAAGTGGTCCGCGCGGCCGTGCCAAATTTAGCCTATTTTTGGAGCGGCCGCGCCAATTGCAGAAGTTGGGCAGAAGGTTTCGGTGATTCTCGTGCGGCCGTGTGGGAATTACACTGATTTTCGCGCGGCCGCGCCAACACACGTTGGAGACAATTTTGGACTTTTAATCACACAAGGAAACCTAAAATCATCTACCATGTTGGGACATCTATTTAAGGGCAAACCAAGCACGAATTAAAGGACTTTGGACACAACCTTAGAGGAAGAGGAGCGAGAGAACGAAGAAGACGGAGAATTGACAAATCTTCATCACAATTCTTCTTCATCTATCTTTTCTTAATCTATGTCTTTTTATATTTTTATTATGTTTTTCGTAGAGAACATGAGTAGCTAAGTTTTTAATCTAGGATTTTGTTGGAACCCTATGTGGGGATGGTGAACCCGTTTTCTTGAGATCATGCAATTATGATTTTATGATTATTTCTTCTACTAGTTATGATTGTTAGTGCAGATCAATTTATGTGCTTTATCTGTGATTATTGGAATTGACTCGACAGAGCTATTTTGATAATTAGACGGTAAGTAGAAGAGCCTTCGAGTAGTTTTCACCGGATGAGTGTGTCAATTGCATGTAGTGTCGTAGACATACATATATCACCTTAGGTAGCCATTTACGAGACTTGTTAGTTAATGCTTTATTTATAATTGGTTTGCATAGACATATAGTGAATCGTTTATGAATAATAGACTCATAATACACGCGAGAGCGGGTTATGAGTAAATTAGTGTCTCGGGTTAATAATCATGAATTATATATTTCATAATTGAGGGGTTTTGGGTGAGCAATTCTTGCATAGGGGGAAGATAAAATCCTAGGTCCGTTTTTATTGATATTTTCTCGTGTTTAATTGCTTTCATAATTAGTTAATTATTTAGTTGATTAAATTTGACAACTTTGCGTAGGCTGGATAAAAATCATATTTGCTAGAATTTGGTACTTAGGATTATATAATTTGAGTATTCCATGTGGGATCGACATCCGACTCTCACGAGTCCACTTTTACTACTTGTTTGCGATACGTGCACTTGCGTGTTAGGTATTTAGCCCCAACAAGAACCAATTTAAATGGCCCCATACCTCAAATATTTCCACCATTTCTATTTCATTGGATCTATCTCACAATGCATTGACCGGTTCGATTCCATCTCAAGTCGGATCTTTTTTCGAGCCTAGTTATGTTAGATTTCTCCAACAATAGATTGTCTGGACTTATTCCGAACTCTTTAGGAACGTGCATTAGCTTGGAACGACTTTACCTAGAGGGTAATTTATTCGAAGGACAAATACCGCAGGGTCTAAGTCCTCTCGTGGGCTTAAGATATTTGGATCTTTCACGAAATAATTTATCCGGGACAATCCCAAGTTTTCTCGGTTTGCTACGACTCGAGCAATTGAATCTATCGATCAATATGTTGCAAGAACAAGTGCCAACAACCGGAGTGTTAAAAAATAAGACCATAACTTCCCTACAAGGTAACAAAGAATTATGCAGAGGAATTCTTGAGTTCGACCTTCCTCCTTGCACTACATCTTCCTCAAAGAAAAACTTATCAACCCGACTCAAAATCGCGATCCCAAGTAGTCGGAGTTGCAGCATTGCTATGCATCATAATTTTTCTATACAAAAGAGGAACACACAAAAAAAGTTTTGCCTTCTCTACCATCATTTATGGGTACGCAATTCTTGAGGCTTTCCTATTCCGATCTACTTAAAGCGACGGGCGGATTTGCCGAGACTAGCCTAGTAGGTGTCGGAAGTTTTGGATATGTTTACAAAGGTGTACTTGACGATGGGGTGACGGTTATAGCTGTGAAAGTGCTTAATCTTGTTGTGAAAGGGGCCTCTAAGAGCTTCTTGGCGGAATGCAATTCTCTAAGAGGCATACGACACAAGAATCTCGTGAAAATATTGAGTGTGTGTGAGAGAATAGACTTCCAAGGAAACGATTTCAAAGCGTTGGTGTATGAATTTAAGGCAAACGGGAGTTTGGATAAATGGTTGTACTACAACGGTGAACAAGAAGAGGGATCCGATGCACAACTTAGAAATCTAGATTTGATCGAGAGGCTTGATATCGCCATCGATGTTGCTCATGCACTCGAGTATCTCCATTCAGGTATTGGTTCGGTAATTGTTCATGGCAATTTGAATCCGAGTAATATTCTTTTAGATGAAGAAAAGACTGCTTGTGTTGGTGATTTCGGATTGTCCAAGATTGTTTCGAGTGTACTTCCGCCGCGTGAAAATAGCAGCACAATTGGGATCAAGGGTACAATCGGCTATGTCCCTCCAGGTATATTTGATTTTAATCTTCTCATCTTCATAGTTTTATATCTGGAAAAAATGCACTTCACCCCCTATAACTTTCCGATTTTCTCACTCCCCCCCCCCCAAAAAAAAATCAAAAAAGTGGATATTCCCCGTTTGAAATATTATTTCGGTTGCACTTTGCCCATAAGCCAACATTTTAAAGGGGCAACGTGCAAAAAAATAGTGATTTATAAGGGGGAACGTGCAACGGAAATACTCAATTCTGATGAATAGTCCATCGGAGTTTTGCTATTGGGGCATTGTGGAAATAATATTTTGAAGGGGGAACATTCACTTTAAAAAAAAAAATTAGGGGGTAAAGTGCGAAAATTAGAAATTTACAGGGGGGCAATGTGCAATTTGCCCTTTATATTAGCCAAATTATATGTCGTTTGCCGTTAATATCTTGAAACGTATGTGCAGAGTATGGGATGAGTAACGCGATCTCGGCAGAGGGGGATGTGTATAGCTATGGCATCCTCGTATTGGAGATGTTCACAAAAAAAAGGCCAACAGACGATTCGTTCATGGATCAGGTCAATCTTCACAATTTTGTTGATGCTGCGTTGCCGGATCATGTGATGGAAATATTGGACCCCCTCGTTCGAATAGGCCCTCGCCAAAATAACAATATGTTCGAGGATTGCATGTCTTGTATTCTCAATATTAGTTGAAGAACAAAATTTGCTGATTGATCTTGTGTTCCCTTCTCTTTCTTTTTGCTATGTCATGTAATTTTTTGTTTAAAAAAATGTAAGAGTTAGCTTATCTAAATAAAGTGTTTAGTATCTTTACGTGTATGATCCTCACAAAAAGGAGAAAATCAAAGGAAGTAAGAAAGTTTTAATAGTTTGCAAACTACACGAGAGTCTTAAATCACACCTGGCGCCATGTGGGACGAGCGTGAACTAGAAACTGTTGGCTGGGGTTATTTCGCTAAGAGCAAACAAGGGCGAAAAACATTTTACACAATTGTTAATCCGAGAAGTTCACAAACCTCGTACTAGAACAATGTTACGGGTTCACATCTATGGGAAAACGAGCTAATTGCACATAACCCCCTGTGTAATTTCGAATTGCCGAAAAAGTCCTCGTGTTAAAAATATTAGCAAGGACCCCCCTATGTTATGTTTTACGAAGCACACCGCCCCTTACGTCAAAATTGATGGTTGACTTCCCCACAAAAAACAGTTCCCACCAGTTTCCACGTGTCAATCTCTGACACTTCTTCACTCCTGCCGAATAAAATAACTAAATTACCACTAAATAAACAAACCGAGTTAATTAACCTAGCTCGGCCGCCCGGTCTAGAAACCGGCCTGTTTCAGCGACGTCACGGTAACGGCGGCGCCGAGCGGCGACGCCAAAACCTCAATATCGAACGAGTAGTACCGTCGGAACAGCTCCACCAGCAGCAGCCTCAAAGCCAGCACAACGATATCCTTCCCGGCGCACTGTTTGTTGTTCACGGAGGGGGCCCCACTCTCCGGCCCGTTCGACCAGAGCACGTGCTTCAGCATCTCCTCCCCTTCTTCCCCGACGAACCGGTCCAGAACAAACTCATCGGCCCGGTCGAATATTCTGGAATCTTTCGTGGCAAACGGCTGATACCCGTACAGCATATCCCCTTCCTTGATCTGAAACGCGCCGTCGTGCTCCAATTTCACATTATTGGGTTCAAAGAAATATTCATTTTATTGGGTTCTGTTTGGATGAAATTGTAGGAATATATTAAAATGGGAAATTTACTGTTTCCATCCCTCAAGTTTGCTCCAATTTCACATTTGGTCCCTATGTTCACAAAAAACACATTTGGTCCCTCATGCTTCAATAATTTGACATTTTTGGTCATTCTCATCAATTTGCTGTTAATCCATCAGTTACGGTAGTGATAGGAACACGTTCAATTCCGTTACTTTTAACGGAAAATTGACAAAAATGACTAAAAAATGTTGAATTTTTGAAACATGAGGGACCAAATGTGTTTTTTGTGAACATGGGAACCAAATATGAAATTGGAGCAAACTTGAGGAATGAAAACTGTATTTTTCCCAAATTAAAATTGTGGCTTAAAAAAAATAGAGGTAAAATGGGGATTAAAGAGGTTATTTCAGCATGCTCCACGAGTGCCTTTTTCCATCATAGTTAACACCAGGTTTTGTAGATGCTGTAGATGCTATACTTGGTGAAATACATCAGCTGGTCTTGAGCCATTGATCAATATATAATAACAACACACACCCATGTGTATGTGTCCTTATTGGGTAGTTATTTATATAGATCTACGTTTCAAAATTGCCTGGTGTTTTACACCAGGTGTAGCATCTCATAGACCATTAACACCAGTATCGAACGGGGACCAAAATTATAAAAAAAAATTGGCTTATATGAGGACTAAAACCGTGACAAAAATAATGTAGGGACTAAAATCAATTTACTTTTTGGTCAAATTCTAACAAATGTGGTAAATTGCAGCAAATAACACATTTGTGGGAGATTTTCTATAAGGAGTGATAGATATTCAATCTTTCTTGATGTATTGTTTTATTTCAATTCTCATGATAGAATTATACACAAAAAATCAGACCCGTTAGGTGTCTGCAGGTATCCAATGCATATATAATTCTGAGAACCAATAATTAACATTGTTCCGAGAACCGATAATTAATTCAATGGAATGGCTACCGATTTAGCAAATTGATTTGGTTCGTAAAATTATTATTTATGAATCTAAGGCTAATAATGGGAATCCTACAACACTAGAGATATTTCGACCAATCTTATTAATAAAAGTAAGGTTGTTCCTGGAAAAACCTAGGAAATGTTTTCCGCTCATTTGATAGTTATAATTGTAATTTATTTATTTAATTATTTTTATTTTTTTATTTCATTTAATAAATACATTTATTAAGTATCGTGATCAAGCATTTTCACAACCCTCATTAAGAGAATTGGTACCTAGCCTTACCAGCAGGGTAAAAGGTCTAAGGTTCGAGTCCCCCTTCGCCTACTTCCTCGTGTAATGAACTTGAATTTACTTAAAAAAAAGTCATATATTGCTGTACAGAAACGAGACAATTATGAACTTCAAACATAATAAGGTAGAATTGTGTACAATTTGAACTTTAAAGTCAACAACAAGAAACATAAATGTTGGGGCTGAATACCTAACACGCAAGTGCACGTATCGCATACAAGTAGTAAAAGTGGACTCGTGAGAGTCGGATGTCGATCCCACAGGGAATACTCAAATTATCTAATCCTAAGTACCAAATTCTAACAACTATGATTTTTATCCAGCCTACACAAGTTTGTCAAATTAAATCAATTAAACAATTAAACAATTTAACTAATTATGAAAGAAAATAAACACGAGAAAATATCAATAAAACGGACATAGGATTTTATCTTCCCCCTATGCAAGAATTGCTCACCCAAACAATTATGAAATATATGATTCATGATTATTAACCCGAGACACAAATTTACTCATAACCCGCTGTCGCGTGTATTATGAGTCTATTATTCATAAACGGTTCACTATATGTCTATGCAAACAAATTATGAATAAAGCATTAACTAACAAGTCTCGTAATTGGCTACCTAAGGTGATATCTGTATGTCTACAACACCACATGCAATTGACACACTCATCCGGTGAAAATTACTCGAAGGTTCTACTACTTACCGTCTAATTATCAAAATAGCTCTGTCGAGTCAATCCCAATAATCACAGATAAAGCACATAAATTGATCAGTTTCATGCACTAACAATCATAACAAGTAGAAGAAATAATCATAAAATCATAATTGCATAATCTCAAGAAAACGGGTTCACCATCCCCACATAGGGTTCCAACAAAATCTTAGATTAAAAACTTAGCTACTCGTAATTCTTATGATAAAAAAATAGAATAAATAAATAAATAAGAAAAACTATGCTTGAGTCATCGTCGATCTTCGTTCTTCGCGCTCCTCTTCATCCAAGATTGTGTTCCAAAGTATTTTGATTCGTGCTTGGTTTGCTCTTAAATAGATGCCCCAACTAGGTAGATGATTTTAGGTTTCCTTGTGTGATTAAAAGTCCAAAATTGTCTCCGGCGTGTGTTGGCGCGGCCGCGCGAAAATCAGTCAAAATCTCACACGGCCGCACGAGAATCGCCGAAACCTTCTGCCCAGCTTCTGCAATTGGCACGGCCGCGCGGGCCTGTTTTCAGCCAATTTTCAGCATATTTTTGATTATTTCACTTTTGGCCCATATTTTCTCCAAAATTGCAGTTTTGACCCCATACTTTTCCAATTCTTCAATTTGTACCTAAAATACAATAAACCACTCATTGAGCATCATTAAATCAATAAAAGTATACAAAAATCCTTGTAAGAAAGTATACATTGAGTGTAAAATATACACTTAACAACAAGAAAAACAGAGTTCCTAACTTTGTTTTCAGCTAGACAATTCCTTTTGAATCTTATACAATTCCCTAACAACATCAGACATCAACATCCTTTCTCTCGGCAATTCCTTCGAACATGTCAGTCCAATTCTCATAATAGAAGACACGCAATCATCGAGCTTACTGTTATCGATCATGTGAGGGCCCATAAGAATGAGAGGATCCACAATTTCCATTACACGATTAGGCAAAGCAGCGCTAACGAAATTGTGAAGATTACCATGTTCCTTAACGAATCATCAGTTGGTCTTTTATTCGTGAACATCTCCAAGACAAGAATACCGTAGCTATACACATCCCCTTTGGTCGAGACCAAGTTGCTCATGCCATATTCTACACGTAGGTTTGAGCTATTTAATGATAAGAGTAAAAATAGAGTTTATTGAAGAACCAAGATAATTAATGAAGTCGTACCAGGTGGAATGTATCCGAAACTACCCTTGATCACGAGTGTGTTGTTGCTTTCGTGCGGTGGGCTTGAAATAATTTTTGATAGACCGAAATCACCGACACAAGCCGTCATATCTTGATCCAAGAGAATGTTACTCGGCTTCAAATCCCCATGAACAATTACCGAATCGGTACCACAATGGAGATACTCGAGTGCCTGAGCAATATCAACGGCAATATTGAACCTCTCAATCAAATCGAGATATCTAAGTTGTGGATTTGATTCGTTCTTGTTCGCAATTGTAGTACAACCATTTATATAAACACCTGTTAGCCTTGAACTCGTAGACAATCGCTTTGAATTCGTTTCCATGGAAGTCTATGCTTTCACAAACACTCCATATTTTCACGAGATTTCTGTGTCTTATCTCTCTAAGTGCATTGCATTCCGCGATGAAGCTCTTAGAGGCTCCTTTCATAACACGATTAAGCACTTTCACAGCTAAAACTGTGAGCCCGTCATCAAGAATACCTTTGTAAACAGATCCAAAACTTCCGACGCCTACTAGGCTAGTTTCAACGAATCCGCCCGTTGCTTTAAGTAGATCGGAATATGAAAGCCTCGAGAAAGATATTCCATTGAATGATGGTTGAGATTGAGAAGATGTATTTCTATTTGGTGTTCTCCTCTTGTAAAGAAAAATGACGAGGCATAGAATTGCCGCAACTCCCGCTATTAATGGGATCGTGATTTTGAGTGTAGTTGACAAGTTTTTCTTCTTCGATGAAGTGCAAGGAGGAAGGTCCAACTGAAGAATTACTCCACATAGTTGTTTGTTTCCTTGTAAGGAAATTGCAGTCTCATTTTCAAATACTCCAGTTGTTGGCACTCGTCCTTGCAACATATTGAACGATAGATTCAATTGCTCGAGTCGTAGCAAGCCAAGAAAACTTGGGATTGTCCCAGATAAATTATTTCGTGAAAGATCCAAATTTGTTAAGCCCATTGAAGAACTTAGTCCTCGAGGTATTTGTCCTTCAAATAAATTTCCCTCGAGATGAAGTTGTTCCAAGCTAACGCACTTTCCTATTGAGTTGGGAATAAGTCCGGACAATCTATTGTTGGAGAAATCTAAGCTTGCTAGGTTTCTCAACGATCCAACTTCAACCGGAATCGAACCCGTTAATGCATTGTAAGATAGGTCCAAGGAAATAGAAATCGAGGAAAGATTCATAAGCTCTTGAGGTATGAAGCCACTAAGACTATTACGCGAAAGATATAATCCTAGCAACTTAGAGCAGTTACCGATACTCTGAGGTATAGGCCCCGAAAAGTTGTTTCCTTGCATGTACAAATTAGTCAACAAGCTCAAGTTTCCGAATATAGATGGTATTTCCCCCGTAAATCTATTTTCTTCCAAGCTGAGAATATTAAGATTAATAAGTTTCCCAATGCCCGAAGGAATCGAACCCTCGAGAGAATTTCTTGCAAGACCCAAGAAAGTGAGGCCAACAAGGTTTTCGATACCTGATGGAATTTTTCCGCGTACTTGAGTACCAAAAATCCCTATAGTAGTAATGTGAACAGAGAAGTTTGCGATTCTTTGTGGAATTGTACCACTAATAAATGGGCTGGATAGATCAAGAACTCGTAGTTGAGTGCAGTTAGTGAGTGATGAAATGAAACTAATATCATCTTCAATTAATATATTTGCGGCATATAAGGATTTAAGTTGTGAAAGACCTCCAAGCATTGGCATTGGCCCACTAAAATCGTTTAGTGTTAACACAATCGTTTCAAGTGAAGAAGCATTTGATATTGAAATCGGAACACTGCCACTAAATTTATTTTTTCCCAAACTCAGAAACCTCAGGTTAGGGAGAGTGAGGCCTATAGTAGAGGGTATTATTCCATAAAGAAGATTAAAATCAACTGTAAAACTCCTAATAGTAGATATATTGAAGACACTCGGAGGAATGGTGCCTGTGAGATTGTTTTCACCCAAATTAAGACGTCTTAGTTTCTGAAGTTGGGCCAAGGATTCGGGAATTTCTCCATTCAAGTCGCAAGACCTTAGAGAAAGTTGTATCATAGATGTTAGGTTTCCTATATATTGAGGGATATCTCCTAAAATTTTGTTCTTACCCAAGCCTAGAGCTTCTAGTTTCTCCAAAAAATGGAGCTCCGAAGGTATGGCCCCGGAGAGATTGTTGTCGATCAAGTTAAGATAAACCAGATTTCTCCATTGGGTAATATTTTCGGGCATTATTCTTCCCGTGAAAGAATTGTTGCTAAATTCTATAAACTTAAGTCGTCTTAAAAGGCCGATTTCCTGCGGAATTCGGCCGTTGAAACTATTGTTTTGGAGATTGATTTCTCTAAGGAATGAGAGATTACCTATGTGAGGTGAGAGTGATCCAATCAAGCCTTGAGAATCCAGCTTTATGGCGATAACTCTATTTGGGTGCCTTCGACCGCATGTGACTCCGTTCCACGTGCAAAAGTTTGTATTTCGATTCCATGAGATTAAAGCTCCGTTTGGATCGACATTTATGGCTTCCTTCAAAGCCAGCAATGAAAATAAATCTGTTTTGTTACTTATAAAGCATGTTACTGGACTGTATAAGGCAAGAGAATAGAAGATAAAGAAAGAAAAGATAATGATGGATTTTGCCATTGTTTCTTGAATGGTGAATGCTTGTTGTTTCTTGATTTTGCTTATGTGTATAAATGCTCAAAGTATCGTATGCACAATGTATATGATTATTCCAAGTCTACGCATTAATATTACTGTTTTGGAAGTTTGCCAAAAAAAATTCAATTCTCGATTCATCGTCGAACAAATCTAAATCAAGGAAGACCTTGACTTAGAGAGTAAAGTTTCTTTCTCACTTTTCATATTACTAGGAAGGTGTACGTGCGATGCACGTGTGCGGTTAACTTTTCAAAGTAATTTTCTTTTTATTATTTTTGCCTCGTTTTTTGTGTTATTTTATTTAAATAATACTTACAACATATAATAAGTATTAATGAATTTAAGGTAGCTCGTCACCAAGTGTTCCACGAATAAACAAATTGATCTATCTTACTGGTGGTCCTAGAAATTGCCAAAAATGTTCTTTTCATGACAGATACCTTTCTTCAGATAATGCCCAAAATGTGTACTTGACATTAGTTGTACGATGTGATATCGAGTTTGAGTGCGTTATGTGCGTCAAAAAAACGGGTTTGGGTCTGCCCGTGCAACTTTATTTAGTTACTGGGGCAAAGCGCAAAAATAGGCAAAAACAGGTGGTAAAATGCTATTAACCCTATTTATTATGTACAATGGTGATTTTGTTGTGTATTACTGTGGTAGATAGTAATATCATTAATAGTACTGTCAACCACGGTAATTATCGGGAACAACAATCTTAAGACGAAATTTTGTTATTTATTAAATTGTGTTTTCTGCACACGTTGGTAAACGGGATGGAGAAGAAGATAGTCTGTCAAAAATCAAGAAGTTACAAAATACAATTGGAGAAAGTTCATTTTCGGACAGAACATGAAGTCCACATTCCTTCCCCATTTCGAAGGTGTTAAAGTCCGAATATGGCAAATAAACATTTCACAAAAGTTGTAGATAATCAAGTTAGCTTTCCAGAACATGTTAAATCATCACAATCGGAGCTCGTACGAAGAAGTTATGACGAAAATACGAAAGGGTGGCAGAACTGCCGATGCACCTTTTCATATACAACCGTTCGTGACCAATGCGACTTGTCGCATATTAAATGCCTCACAAATGTCCAATGCACGAAATTTTTTTTGAAAGAAGACTGAGTCGAAGAATAATGATCTGGTTTTATATTATTTTCGATTCATGAATATTATTTAATATTTTTTTCTGGTTCCATTGTAGGTGCAAATTTACAGCACACCTATTCCGACTTCGAGGCTTATTTTGATCATGATCCAGTCCGAATCTCAGAAAACATAAAAGATAAAAGTTGTAGAAAATTTTGTTGGCTATTCGGATCATATTGAATCAACAAAATCGGACTTCAAACGGAAGAGATATGATTAAATCATTCAGCACTGCCATAATATTGACACGATTTGGTGCTACCCACAAAGTTTGAATTGACGAACATATAATTTATCGGGTACGTTTTTTAAGATATCTATTTGTGCAATAAATTGATAATGCTATATGATATAATGGTGTATTATTGCATGATAGTTTAATTTTAATATGTGGAAGAATGGTAAACTATATACAATAAACTATATACAATATATTTGCTTAATGAATATTCATTATGTTTGTGTATCTACATTAATGATAGAAATATTTTTATCCTAAATGCAATAAAGTGATATGGTATGTGTTAATTATTTGAATAAGTTTATCATAAACCGCATAACGTTTCTCATGAAAATGCAATATTTATTTTCATAAATTGCATATAGTTTAGATACGGGATTAACTTTCTCCCAATTTTCATTTGATGTGGAACCGTCCAATTGATTAATTTTCGAATATGTTATATGAAATTTGTGAGTACGTGATCTTGTGATTGTCTATGAACGATTAGACTTGTCTCGTATATTAAGTATAAGTTACTTAGTAAAGAGGAATATTTCTATACATATTATTATTTGTGTAAGCCATACTAATTCCTTAGAATTGTGCTATTGCATGGACATGCATTGATTACGTGCGATAGAATTTATATCAATTTATTATGTTGGACATGAATTAATTTATGCTATGGAATATAAACTTGATGTTATTATGTATTCATGTGTATACTATGTATATGTTGATAAAGTATGCTTGATCTATTGTTTCTTTCTATAATCAACTAGTATGAACGTCGTGCTCACATATTATGTTTATTATAATATTGATGTACATATGTTTTATATATATATGAATCATACTACGATTTAATTAACAGCATGATTTGAAATAAAATAGAAAGAAAGAGAAGCTCAATTCATGAGAGCACATGAGTAGTTCTTGTCTCAAGAACATAAAAGAAGATCGAGTCGTTGGGTTCGATTTGATTTTTTGCAAAATAATGATCTACAATCTGAATGGATGAGATCGGATTTTGATTGTTCAAAGATCCGAAATAGTTGTTAACAACAATGGATGTTTTGTTGAAATAAAATTCGAGCAGTTTAATTAAGAGCTCGTTTTGTAGAATTAAATCATTGGATTTGACTGAATTTTGAACAGCATGTTTAGGACATGCAATCCTAAATTATGAATGATTAAGATTAGAATTTATATATTCTAACTTTAATGTTGAATAGTGGAGATCAACCACCATTTGAAGAGATTAATATTCTCTTGTTTATTGACAAGATTTAAGTATCTTGACGAATTTTCTCTTTTGAGGAAAAGGAAGAAATCTTACTATCTCATTTGTTGACAAAATTTAAGTATCTTGAGAAGATTTCTCTTTTTGTGATTTCTTGAAATACAATTTCTTTTGTAATTAAATCATATTGGTGATCCAATATATTTCTCTAACTAAAGAAGAAATGTATTTTGTTACATTGTGTATCCTTATTGATAAATAAAAATAAGGATTTCAAAGCATTTAAATGCTATCTGAATGAAAGTTGGAAAATGCAACTTTGACAAATGAATTAAAAAATGAGTATTGAAACTCTTGAAAAATTTATGGATATCATAATGATAAATTCTAGAATACATACTCTAGAATTTGTGGGAAAAATTAGAAATGTGGGGGTCTTTAGACCCTAAACACATAAATTACATACCCCGAGCTAACCACATTAATATTTAAAAAATGTGGGGGTCTTTAGGCCCTAACCAGTAATCACATTAATATTTAGAAATGTGGGGGTGTAAGGCCTAGTATAATTAAGTGGATAAATAATGATTGTGCACAAGATAGTCACTCTTGATGCAAATTGATTATATTGTGTTTTCTTGTAAAATAAGAAAATAAATAAGTTCGTAATAAAAGAACTTATAAATGTGTAAGTGGTAAATCATCAAAGTGATGAACAACCAAGTTAACATATGTGTGAGTGGTAAATCATCAAAGTGATGAACAACCAAGTTAATATATGTGTGAGTGGTAAATCATCAAAGTGATGAACAATCAAGATACAACAAGATGGCAAAGAAAATCAATACGTTTGATTTTGATTTGATTTTATTAACTTATGAGTTATAAAATGAACGATGGACAATTGTCTTCTTTCAAGTAGTAAACCATTAAGGTTTAGATGGACTATTCAAAAGAAGAATTAAAATGGTGGTCCAATTAAGCTAAATTAAATAGCTATGGAAAATCTTGATTATTTATAACAAGATATTGAAACTCGTTAAGTGATTCTAAAGTAATATTTGATAAAATTGTGTTATCAAATAGTTCTCGTAATAACATATGTGACCAGTGTGTTTATATTAAAAGCACATGGAAGTGTATGTCCATAGACGACATTATAATCATGAGATAATGATCATGATATTATTTTGAACGTTGAGAAAATATTGAAAATAAAAATAAAATTATGTATGATGTCAAAAGACGAGGGTTTAGACGATGTAATCTTATAGATTAAAGTCACTAAAACAAAGATAGTCTTATTGAAAGTCTCATGTTGAGACACTACTAGAATATTGATCTAGTTGTCTAAAAAACCAAGTGTTTACCTTGCCAAAAATAATGATGAACAATGGTTCAATTACAAATATTTTTGGACAGCTTGGCAGCATAATGAATTGCAAACTAGTAAATATGTAATTCCAAAATAAATAATCATTCAATGATATTATAAGGGTTCTTAGGTAATCTAAGTATCGCCTTTAAATGGATTACATTAAAGAAAATATCTTATTGTATTAGGAAAGTACATTGGATATTTGAGTCCACTAAGATTATGTATCTTGGAAATCCTCAAACAAAATTGAATAGCTCGATTCATGGACGAATTCGAATGTATAACTTGAGATAAGGTTAGAAAAGAAGTTGAATAAATTTCATAAAATTATTGGAGGATGTTCCGTGTTGGACTTAGTCGGTGTCTACAATTATGAATAAATTGTGATAACCAATCGGTTACGTTAAGGGCACAAACGACATGTATAATGGCAAGTATCGATACACTCGTACACATAAGACCATTAGGCAATTGATCTCAAAAGAAATAATATTGATTATATGGTTAATAGCGGATCCGCGACTAAAAGTCAACTAAAGAGATCAAACATATTGCCTATCTAGGGGAATGGGATTAAACCCATAAATTAAGGACAATCTTGGTGGTAACCCAACCATGCTGACTGGAGATCCCAAGAACTGGTTCAAAAGGGACAACTAAGCTAAGAAAGTTCAGTTGAGCACTAAGGAACTCATTCCTAACTCATTCCCGCGAAAGATAATAGTGCTACCTGCAGAGAGGGTAAAGGATAAGCGAAAGCTTTTAATGATTCCAAAACCTTGTAACAAAAGGTGAGGTATTGGCAGGATACCTTTAATAGGAGATCACCTATGTAAGTGTATGAAGTGAGGGCCGCTTCAAAAGAATTGACAAACACTTATGAATCCAAGATGTGTGTCCATGGCCAAAACGGACACAATCATGAGAACTAAGGAAATGTGAGAATAGTATTGTGTGGGTTGCATTGTCTTGGTTTACACGAAC